GTTTCATTTATATTTCTTCATTCATTCTCTTGTTTCTTTTACACTTGACCACACACAGTCGTTCATTTACTCTTTGTTTCTCTTCTAGTGCTTTCAATTACCATCTCACTATCACTGGAATTTATTTATGGCAAAACAATCTCTTCCGAGAAACATACATCTTGCTCCCCCTCCGTTCATCTTTATTCAGCCTCTGTTGTTTATGTTCCCGCAGAGTTGTACTCTTTGCAAGGGATGGAGTTCCTGGAGGGTTTCGGGAAGAAAAAGCAGCAACCGAATCAAGCGAATAGCGTATCGTCGGTGCACATCAATCCCCTATCGGCACAGTCCCTCAACATCCATCTGCATGGTATTTTGTTTATTTTACATTTATTTCCGTTTTATTCGAATCGAAGCCCCGCGTTCCCCGTGTTGCGTTACTCCCCGATCATTCTCCCCGATCGAATTCCCGCTTCCCATTCACCGTTCCCATCGAAACACCGGTATTTACAATTCAATGGGAGTCTGTTCGCGCTTCGACGACTCTCGGTCCGCGCTCCACCTATTTTTCAATTTTCGTAAAACAATCGACAAACTGCGGGCCGCGCATCGCGTAATCAGTTGAAACGTAAGCTACTCGAGTCGCTTTTAATTTTACCTATTCAACGTGCTGTTTACTCGGAAAACTCTGGAACGTCCATATTTTCCTTCTTTCGTGCGTGTAATTTGATAACAAACAGAATTGACAATTGCAGCGTTTGTAGTTTTCACGCGTTACGTTTGACAGCAGGTGTACGGAACACGTCGGTTTGACGCATATTGAAGTTTATAAACATTCGGTGAATATTCCTGTGAATTTCCATCGATACGCGAATATGTCTTCACCCTTTGCACTCTAAAAATACTAGAAATATTCAGCGTTTACTGATGAGATGCAGCTGTGTTTCGAAAGCAACTTGACGAGAGTGTACATAGATTAAGGAGCACATTTTTTATTCGATATTCCACATAGTGATGCATTACACGAAGTTTGACATTGATTATTAAATTTCATAATTTTGTGCTAAATAAAGTGGTCACTGAGTCTGGCCAGCGGAGTGCAAAGGTTAATTGTCTAGTTTTAAATTCCTGATTCTCAAGATTCAAATTAACGAACATCAACTTTCCTACCGACAGGAAAATAAAGTATAATAAACGCCTGTAAACTTATTACCCTTTTGCACTCGGGAGGTGACTCTCAGTCACCACTTGATTTGACGCAGTAAGATTATAAAATCTGATATTTAATGTTAAACGTTGTGTAATGTTCGTTGTACAAAATAGCTTTGTTCCTCGATGTACTTGTGACCCTTCGAGTTTCAAGGAATATCGTCTTCGCCGTAAAAATTTAAAATTCGATATTTAACCTGTTAACTGTGGAATTTCGTTTGAAAAATCTCTTATTTTGCGCGCAGTAAAATAAAAAAACGGAGTGTGTACTCATCAAACGCAGGAAGAACGCACTTAGGATATATTTTAATAAAAAAAACAAAAGCAAAGCAGAGACGAATTGTTTATCTGAAAAAATAAAGAATTCATCGTTGAAAGGATTAGTATCATTTGAAGATTTAATACTAAAACTACCAATCAGTTGAATTGACTTTTCTAAAATTCTCTATAGAAATTCCAAAGATGCGTATATTGTGACTTCAGTTGATTTACAATTCTGTTTGCGTATTGCTAAATCAATTTCGCTAGTAATTTCTCAGAGACACCTATTAGTTCTTTAATAATCATAAAAAGAAGAAATTAGGAATGGGTCATTTTGACCCGTCTGGTAGTTTTAGTGTTAAGATGACGCGTATACTCGTCAAACGCAGTTAACTGGTTAATATATTTCCTATAATGCATCATTTTGAAAAATATTGAAATAAAATAGCTTCGTTCAATGTATGCGTGACTTCTCGTCGACTTTCCACAAAATATCAATTTTATCTCATCAAAAACCGTTAAAACATTTCTAGTGAAAAACCTCCGAGTGCAAGGGATCGACAGTAACAAAGTAATCGAATGTTTGCAAATGATTGCTAATCGAATAATTTATAACCTTCCTGAAGAGCTCGATTATTGGCATCAACGATTCCCAGCGAGCAGTCTTCCATTAATCAATCTATTTGTGTCGAATCGCAGCTCTCTTCGCAGCCGTGGAACATGGCCACCTGGACAAAGCCCGGACCATTCTGGAATCGACGGACGTGGACGTGAACAGGTGAGCTGACTCGATCGGTTAACCCTTCCGGTGTACAAACGCCCCGCGAGAAGCGACTTCGGCGGAGAAGCTAACGAATCGGAAAAATTATGCGACGTCACGCACTGATTTGAAACGCGACGCCGCCGGTGGCACACCGCGCGGTCGCGATCTAGGTTAATTGACGCTGCTAATTAATTTCCTCGGCCGTTCTAGAAAACGAGCCAATTAACGAGCGATCGACACGACAACGCTCGGAACAGGGAACGCCGTGTTCCTCGAGAGTCCATCGATTCTTGATTTGGAAAAGCATGAAGTCGCTGATGTAGACTGTCCATTGAGAACTGCGACTGGATACGTTGCTCCGTGGAGTCCGGCTCTTATAATTAACACTAGAACTGCCGAGCAATTAATTACCTAATATGTGTATCCTCGAACCAATGACAAAACTACATTTATTCGGATTTCGATTGATTTATTTAGAATGCACGTTAACTCTTTCCGCTTGGATTTAATTACGATAAATTTAGTAAATCGTTTAATTTGAGTGAGACCACTGTATAATATATATTGTTAGAAAGGAATATATTTAATTTTAAAGTTAATACATTTTGTAAATAGAAAGAATATCGGTGTGGGTCAGAAATGATCCGATACAGTTTTAAAGGTACTCCGAAGGTTTAATGAGTCTAGCTCGTTGTAGCGTAAGGGGTTAATGCACCATAAAACCTTCCAGGAAAGTCTGTATCTTTTCACAAAGTGGAAAAGTAGACAGAAGTAGGTCATTTTGACTCGTTTGGCAGTTCTAGTGTTAAGTTAACAGGCATTAACCGTTTGAGTGTTGAGGAACGCTACAGCGCTCTTCTTTTGTTGTGCCAAAATTGCGGAGAGAGTGTTTTTCAAGAAATAAATCAAAGTAAATTTATTTGAATAAATGTTATTTTCTGATATTTTTTGTAATAACACAATATTTGTGATCTCGTTAGATAAGTACTCTTATTAATTTTTTTGCATACACACCCAATCACTTCCGCATTTTTGGTACGTGTCCACGAAAGTTGTTTAGCATCCAAACGGTTAAGGAAATTCTCTGCGTCGACGAATTGTATTCGTAACGACGGAAAACCGCAAGGATCCGAAATGGCGTCGACGGATTGTAATCGTAACGACTGAAAACCGCAAGGATCCGAAATGGCGTCGACGTCTGCGTTTCCGTTCGACTGACGTGTTAATTGTCAACCAGACGCATCCGTGAAAGCCTAGACACGTTGCGATACACGTAGCTGATACATTCTAGGTTTCATGGTACGTGTTTCAGTGTGTGTAGAATTTTAGCTTTCGACTCGTCATCTCTTGCAATGATTATAGACACCATTACTGAAACGAATGCTGAAGACTTCGAAAGAAGCTGAGACGATTATATATATATACACCTGACTGCCACGAGAATTTCTAGCGTTTTGAATAGTTATACTCATTCTTTAATGACAAAGGCAAATGATATTGAAAATAATTATTAAAGGTTTAGTATTACAGTAGTCATATTACGCTATGATCTATCTACTAAATATTTTTATTTAAGATCAAGGTTTTTATTGTAATCGTTCTTCAACAATTTGGAAGCTCCGGTCATCGGTGACCACCATGGCAGTCAAAGTGTTCAATTCTATTTGAAACCTTTACCACGAGTCGATATAACCAGAGCAAGAGGTTAAGAGCTACGGTACCAAACGATTAGCAATTAACTCTAATACCATTTGAGTTCGTTATGCAACGATATTAACACGTTTTGTGCCAGACTGTTTTTTGAAGACTTTCCGCTCAGGCCGAACAATTACAATTGTATTGTTCTGTTTCTGGAGTATGCCTTACAATGATTAAAATAATGAAAAATCATAACTATCCAGGAAAGGGTGTATGGTTTAAGATGCATAACACAGCAAAGCAATAAATTAATTTTTCTAGGAATTAGTTTAACAAATACCTGGATGAACATTACTCTACCGAGCGAGTGGCATCCTCGCACATAATATTTTTTTATGATGTCTATATTAGTTTAAAATAAAACATTTTAGTTGAAATATATTTAATATTATATTTATGTGACAAGTTTGTATACAATCAGGAAGGGATGTTACGGTGAAATTTGTTAAAACATGGCAAACATAAATATGGTTTATCCACACAACTGTCACAGAATGTTGCAACTTTTACAGTACAGTTTCTTGCCGATTGAGAACCGAATTTTTTAACGTTAACACAAATCGCAGTATAAAAAATGACTACCACGCGGCGTGGAATGTAAACGATCAAATAAACACAGCGGCAATAGCATTAAGATGTCCAGAACTGATTGCATAATATATTTTTAAAAAATTCTTCATTTTACAATGACAATACCTAATGGCTTGACCGGAAAGTTCGCGGCACGGAACGTGTTAACGCATTGCGTACCGGCTACTTTTCAGAAAACTGAATTGTGCGGATGGAAATTTTCAGTGAGATCAACTTATATCGCTATAGATACAAAAACTCAGATATCATATTGTGTAATGTATTTTAAATAGACAATCAATCTGAATCAAATTTCATATTTTTCTAAGTACTATAGTAATTAGCAAAATTGCATAGCTAAATGTCTTTATATAAAAACGAGATTTCTCGTTGCCAGTACGCAATGTGACTCTTTGCACTCGAGAAGTGACTCACCACTTGATTTCATACAGTAAAACTATAAAATTTTATATTTAATATTACACCCCGTATAATGCATCAATTAGAGAAATAATTAAATACAATAGCTTCGTTCCTCAATGTACATGTGATTTCTCTTCGAGTGAGATTCACAAAATATCGTCTTTATCTCATCAGAAACTGTTGAAATATTTCCAGTGAAAAACTTCCGAGTGCAAAGGGTTAATATTACACGAAACACTGAAAACTCTCGTCGTAAACGTGGCAAGCGTCACGTCCGTGTCCAGTTGCATTCGTCGCCGTTAATCCTATCGATCCTATCGTGACAGAAGGCGCGCTGGATACGCGCCGATTCCCCAATGATAATTCGATTCCGGCGAACGGACGGACAGTCGTAGATATTCCGTCGGACGATCCCCAGCCTCGAACGGAAACGGTAATTCGTTTACGCCGCTGGTTCCTTGCCGGTCACCGTCACCGAGAAACGATTAATCGGTTTTCTACCGTCGCTGCCTGCTGGCAGGAAGATCGAGGCTTCGCCGATATAGGAAGCTGCGATGCTCGAGACTCCCGTCGCAATGTATCGGTCAGTTTCTCGACGGAATCCGTCTTATTTCACAACTTAACACTGAACCTACCAGACGAGTCGAAATCACTTATTCCTGATTTCTTGTTTTTGCAGTTGTTATCCCTTTGTACTCGTGCTTTGATTTCGTACAGAAAAATTTTAAAATTCGTTTAACACGTTGACTGCCAAATAAACTCACCAAAACCTTCGTACAATCGAAACAATTTTCATAATGAAACCTTCGAATTCTCGTGAAAATTGTTCCAGTTTTTATAAGAAATTAAGTCACTCTAATTGCTTAGTAGTTTCAGTGTTAACATTAGAACTACCAGAAGTCGGAATGGACCATTCCTAAATTCTCAGTTATTGACAAAACAATAGATCCTTCTCTAAGAAATTTCTAAAGAAATTCTTTAGTAATACGCAAACCAAGTTATGAAGTGTCGATAGATGTTAGCGTTTCTATAGACAAGTTTTGAAAAGTTGACTCGTCTACTCGGTAGTTCTAGTGTTAATTACTGTTCAGAGCACGAAGTCTCGCAGAAAAGGAACCGGGCAAGACAATAATTTTATACACTTACAACAAATTTACAACAAGTTTACAATAAGTTTACAATAAGTTCATCGCGTCGCATCGTGAAAAACACTTTTTGCCCTGTTTCTCCCCGCTGGACTTCTTTCGTGCTGCGGGACAGTGCCGTGAATTGGATCGTCTATTGGTAACGAAACATTCACGGCTCCTGTATCATCGAACGTCGCATCGAACGATCGCGTGATCGTCGCTGAATGTCCATTCTCCGCCGTGATAATCCGTTTATTCGCTTCGCCTCCCTTTGTCCCCGTTCGCTAATGGCAGCTCGCGAGAGCTGGTTTATGCCGGAACGAAATTGGTGGCGATTACGTCGCGGAAACGGGCGCAATCCGTTCGCCTTCCGCGTGGGGATCGTCGTCTGGGATTTTCGTACGAATTCGATGACCGTTCCAGCGAATCGAGCGGTTTAACGCTGGGATTACTCATCGTTCTAACTGCTTAGTCATTTTTTAAATAGTACTCATTAACTTAACCCTCTATAGACACGTGTAACTTTGAAGTCACATATTAGTATGTGGCTTCTCGTAGATTTATTTCCTTTTGCACTCAAAGTGGTGAATAAAATTAAGTAATCAGTTAACTTAAACTTTTACTAGTTTCTTCTAAATTAGAAAGCTTTTTTATAGCTTTTGAATATGTACAGTCACTTGAGAAGCCATTACATTTCTCGATTTCCGTTTCCCGACTTAATCACATTGGCTAACCGGCTCATTTCTAATATCAAACAATGATTCATTCAATGTTTCCTTACATTTACATTCGAAGGAACTGTAAGATATTTTTTAACACTAGAACTACATTTCATGCGATCGATACCTAATTCCTAGAAAAACTGCAACAGTAAGTGATCCTCAATTTCTTCTGACGTTCGTAACAATATTCAAGCGAAACTATTTATTGTCGAAATCATTTCGAATATTCAATGCGTTTAACCCCTTGTCCTATAATTTATTTCTGAACTATAATCGAAAATACTTTACTGTTAATAATTTATTAGGAAAAGAAAATTTGTATGTTTATTCTGTCTGCCTTTACTCCAAAGGTCAACGATCGATAATAGAAAAGTAATGCATAATTTATATTTTAAAAATGAATAATCCTTAGGTTTCTCAAATTCACTTAAAAATTTTTTCTTCACGAGTCTGACACGATACTCTAAGTCAAGGGGTTAAAATAGAAATAATTCGGAAAACCGAAACCAGTGTCCACCGTCAGGGTGGTTCTAGTGTTAAATGTTTATCCGAGTTTCCCGATCCCGAGTCGAACACGGACGGTTCGGCGAAACTCGATTCGACATGTGTCCCGTCCGATGTAATAGAAACGAAAACTTGAATCCCGCTTAAATTGCCCAATTAACGTCTCCCCGCAACTGACGACCGGTTCAATTGGATTTTCAGCGTGAACAGCGACGGTCTATCGGCCCTGGACGTCGCGGTGCTCAGCAACAATAGGCCGCTGGCAAAAATGCTGGTCGCGTTCGGCGCGCAGGAGGGCAACCAATGTAAGTGTTCAATTACGAATTCCATTCGGTCGTTACGCGACTGGATCCTGTCCGAATCGAATGAGTCACAGTTGTTTAGTTGTGTACCGCTGAACGAACCCGTTGGTCTGTTCTCTAATTTCGAAACTGCTCTGCGTACAGCGCATTCAATGGTCAACGATCATTCCGACAGTTTCCTATTATTTCACTGTAGAAATGTATTTAACACGTTCGCTGCCACTTTAGCGTTTTATTTATCACCTTTCTATAGCAAAGGTACAAAGCAATTAATTCTTTGATATGGAAACTCTCATGTTAGCCTATTATCTAGTTATTTATGGAACATTTGTATTCGAAATCAATTATCTTCCATGTTATAATTATTTTCTTGTAATTTGAAAGCTTATCGTGGTTTTTTTAGACAGCACTGGCCTGTAGATTGAGCCTGGAGGTTTTAACCCTTTGAACTCTGTAGGCTCCAATATTGTACCAGTTATAATATTAACCCTTTGCGGACGAAGATTCTCTAAACTATACGAAACCTTTTGTAGATTCTGCCAAATCACACATTGAATGCTTAAATAATGTGGAATGAGGAAATTATGTACTGGTTTCTTGCTGTTTGAGTAGTTGAATCATTTGTTTGCAACTTAGTATTACAAACATGAAAGTTTGATCTCGGTAAAATGTCGACATTCGTTCCCAAAGGGTTAAATATTTTAATGAATCTTAAAGCAACTACCCTAAAATTATTAGATTCACACATCCAAATTTTGTACTAAGGAAAATAAACGATCGAAGACATGTTATAGCATTCCTCATTTTCGCTAGGAATACTATAAAAATTAGTTGCAGTTGCTGATAGATTGCAGAACAACCTGGAGTGCTAAGGGTTGAAAGATACCTAGAGCATAGTGCTCCCTACCCTTTTAATTTGAGAATTACTGGTTTACCAACAGGGGGTTCTGTTTAGCAGAGCTGCTTCGATATTTGGAATATAAGAAAAGTTTCAAAAAACTTGTGAAAATCGCCTGCAAGTTAACCGTTTAGGTACGGTACGCCACTATAGTGGCCTTCCGCCGAGACTCTCCATTTTTCGGAACGCCATTACAGTGGCTTTCGTGGATCGCACCAATTTGGACGATACCACTTCGTACAAAATTATTGACAAACGACATTTGTGTACATATCTGTATATTATAGGCGAAGACAAAATTCTTCGCGCGACACTCTGTCGAGTTTCTCAATTCGTTGCCAGCGCAAGTGGCTAGAAACCATAAAATTTTCCATAAATCTACTGGTAAATCATTGTCAGTACGCGACGAGTATAACATATATACCACAGAGAAAACCATTTTCCAACATAATTCGTTTTTCCAATCGATAATTACGAGACAATACATTTTACCCGCGATTCACGAATTTCGGTCGTGTTGCGTCGACAACAGCCCGAAAGGAAATGCTTGTCAGCGGAGCGTAAAAACAAAGGCGAGCGAATTGTTGCTGCTTCTTTGTTGCTTCCCGCGCTGTCTGTTTCAACGGAGAATGGGAAATTGTCTCTATAAAGGACGCGCGGCGCGCGTAAAGTCGATGAATTCGGCCGACAGCGGCGGTCATTTATTTCGGCGTGCGCGAACCGCGGCAATTAAACCTTTGAACTCTATGGGCTTCGATATTGCACCAGTTATAATATTAAATATTTTAATGAATCTTAAAGAAACTAGAATTATTAGATTGTCCGCGCATCCAAATTTTGCACTAAGAAGGAAAATAAAAAATTGAAGAAATGTTATAGCATTTTTCATTTTCGCTGGGGATGCTATAAAAATTAGTTGCAGTTGCTGATAGATTATAAAACTATCTGGAGTGCTAAGGGTTGAAAGTGCCAGCCTATCGGTTTAAAGAATTAGATGAAATTTATTCACCTATTTTCCTTCTAATTATTTATTTTCATTTCTATTATTAACAGCTTGGAAACGAACAAGCGAAACATTCCCAGTATTTCGAATTTTTCTGTATAACAATACAAAACCGTATTGGTTAACCGTTTGCACTCGAGAGGCGACTCTCAATCGCCATTTGATTGAACACAGCGAAATGATAAAATGAAAAATTCAATATAAAATGTTGAATAAGGTATTAACATGTAAAACATAGAAATCATACAATTCTATTCTATAATCTATGCACGATGTTTCTATATATATGTTTTAAATAATATTGTTAACCGTTTGAGTGCTGAGGAGCGCTATAGCGCTCTTATGTTGTGCCAAAATTGCGGAGAGCGCGGGGCGCTTCTGTTTATCAGTATCAATTATAATTTTCTTACTATGTTTTTCAAGAAATAAATCAAAGTAAATTTATTTGAATAATTGTTATTTTCTGATATTTTTTTGTAATAACACAATATTTCTGATCTCATTGGATAATTACTTTTATTACCTTTTTTGCACACGCACCCAATCACTTCCGCATTTTTGGTAAATATCCACGAAAGTTGTTTAGCATCCAAACGGTTAATATTTCGTCAGAAAATAATGAATGTTTCTAATGAAAAATATTGTCGAGTGCAAAGGGTTAAGAATCGCGTTCGTTACGCGCCGGAAATCCCGATGAATCGGATACGCTGCTGGATCATATCGATTGTATCGCGGTGTCTCGAAGAAAACGGCGGAAAAGGCGGACGAGGGGTGGGGGAAAACAGTCGAACGGGATGGGATTCCAATTAGGATGTACCGTGGCCTGTAATAAAAATGCCGTCAAGCTTTATTGCGCTTGAACCGCGACGGAGTAAAAATAAAACGAGGCATCCGACGGGAAGGGGGCAGGTACTTCCCTGTCTGGATTTCCACAGAATCACTTGCTTCTTTACGTTTTATTTGTTCGGTGTTCTATTAATGGAAATATAGTTTCCTTTGGGAGTCCTGTCGTGACAGGTGTAAGATAATTAAAAGGCACAGCGTAGGATTACATATGTAATTTCTTCATAATTTCTGTGATTGCAGTCGTTTATTGATATGTTTCGTAAGGAATTTGTCGCGTTGTGTTTTGTTTATATGTTATTCGACGTTATGGTAATGATAATATACTGTTCTTTAGAAATTTTGTTACAATAGGTGCAGGATAATTGATAATTGTGTTTTGTTCATTCATTATTCGGCGTTCTATTAATGAGAATGTAGTTTTCTTTAAGAATCCTGTTACGAGGGATGTTGAAAGGGACAGCGTAGGATTAAATATGTAATTTCTTCGTAATTTCTGTGATTGCTGTCGTTTATTGGTAAGCTTCATAACGAATTTGTCGCCTTATGTTTTGTTTATATGTTACTCGACATTGTGGTAATGGTAATATAGTTTCCTTTAGAAATTTTGTTCTAGTAGATGCAGGATAATTGATAATTGTGTTTTGTTCATTCATTATTCGGCGTTCTATTAATGAGAATGTCTTTTCCTTTAGAAATCCTGTTACGAGGATGTCGCGATCGTTGAAAGGGACAGCGCAGGATTAAATTAGTAATTTCTTCGTAATTTTAGCTGTCGTTTATTCATTATTCCTGTTTTATTAATGAATATGTAGATTTCTGTAGAAATTCCGTTACAAGCGCAGGTTTAAATTTGTAATTTCTCTTTCGTTTATTCATAAATTTAATGACGAATCTGTCACCTTGTGTTTTGTTTATTCATTATTCAACGTTCTATTAATGAGAATATAGTTTCCTCGTAAATCCTGTTGCGAGGGATGTTGCGGTAATTGAAAGGGACAGCTCAAGATGAAATTTCTAATTTCTTCGTAATCTCTACTGTCGTTTATTAATCGATTTAGTAACGAATTCAATAACGATTTTGTCCCCTTATATTTTGTTTATTCATAATTCGGCGTTCCACTGATAAATTCACAGTTTCCTTTGTAAATCCTGTTACAACAGGTGCAAGATAATTGAAAACGGCGGAGCTGGATTAAATTTGAGGCGTACGCAATTTCTGTTATCGTTCGGCGACGAGTTCAGTAATAATTACCGAAACAGTTTCCCTTGATATTCACGCGATAATCGATGATCAGAATTATGAACCTCGCAGCGTTCGACGATTCGCCGAGCAATTTCAATCGACCATTCGCAGCTAGAACGAATAGATCGGCTCGCTGACGGTGTTACTCCGTTAAACGCAACGTTATTCTATTCCGCGAACACCCGTAGATAATGCTCGTTGGTTAAAGCGTTTCATTAAGACGGTTAATTAGATCGTGTGGCGATTTGCCGGACGAGAACGAAACCGTGTTTGACGTTACACTTTCGCGTGTCATTTGAAATGCGCCTTTTCAACGCGCGTTGCGTTTTTGTTCGCGTAATGGCGGCTGGTCTAACGTTCTGACGTCGATTCGACGCGTCTCTCGAAAACGTGTGATCTACTTTTCAAATGAAAAGTCGAATTTTAATATTATTTTATTTGATTGAAGTCAATCTTTACTTTCTCTGTTTCACTATATAAAAAAAGGTAAAATAGAGAAAGTGGAGGGAGAAACAGAAAATTTGAATTTTAATATTATTCTATTTGGTAGCAGTAAATCTGTGCTTTCTTTAACTTCACTAAAACAAGAATAGTAAAATAGGGAAAGTGAAAAGCGTAACACAAAATTAATGATAGAAAAAGAGAAAAACAACAAAAAAGTTCGAAGACAACTCATTATCGAGAAAAATAGTGTATTTTTCAAATGAAAACTCAAATTTCGATGTATCCGATTTGCCAACAGTAAATCTTTGCTTTCTTTAACCTCACTATAAACAAGAATATTAAAATGGGGAAAGTGAAAAGCGTAACACAAAATTAACAATAGAGAAGAAGGAAAACAACAAAGAAGTTCGAATACAACTCGTTATCGAGAAAAATAGAAGATAAAATCCGTTCCGTTCGCGGTTGCAGGTGAACGCCGGCGAATCCCGGAAACGAAAGCACCGTTCCAGTGCGGCCCCGTGTAAATTACATTGTCCGTTAAGCGTTGGATCAGGATCTGAAATTCAAGTCGTAGAAATTAAGAAACCGGCTAACAGTAAAACGGTCGTTAACGCTCCTTATCGGATATCTCCTTTTTTCCGGCCGCAGCGCTCGCTCGCGCGTCTGTTAATTCGAAACGATTAGATCAGCGTTTGATCCCGGGAACGTTAATTGAATTTTCATCTATTATTCTTTAACGAATTCGCTTAGAAACCCACCGATAACATCGGCTGGCCGCTCGGCAACGCTGATTCGCAAGGAATCAAAGACGAGCGAATTAACCCTTTACGGTCCGAAATGCTCTTGGTTTCTCACTTCGAGATTCACGTCGACGTTTGTTCATTCAATTACAAATTAATATGACGCTCTATTTATTTATTCAAGAATATTTGGGAGTCGTTGAAATGTTACATTTAAATGGTACAATCGTGATAGTAGAAATAAATATAGAAAAAATTGTTAAAACAGGTAGAGGTTGCAATAGAATAGAATGTCGAGTCTGACTCGGCATAAGACTGTTAACCCTTTGCACTCGCGAGGTGATTCTCAGTCACCACCTGATTTGATGAAGTAAAATTATAAAATTTGATATTTAATATTGGACCGTGTATAATGCATCAGTGCGTGAAATATTGGGATAAAAGAGCTTTGTTTCTCAATTTACTTGTGATTTCTCTTTAAGTTACTTTCAAAAAGTATTATCTTCGTCTAGTTAGAAAATGTTAAGTATTTCCAACGAAAGACTTCCGAGTGCAAATTAATGGAACTGGCCGCAATTGGTCGTTGCCAATTATATTCGCTTTGATCCTTCCATCCTAAACAACCAAATATTACATCATTTCCAACGCGATTATGCAATTTCCAAATTACGTTAATCCATCGTCATATTTCATCTGATATGTCCTTGCTGCATCATCAAAATAGTGCTATCTAAATGTTGGTAAAGAAAGTCTTGTCGTTTTATTTCAACAATTTACGGATTAATTGGAGCACAACAATATACTGGGTTGTTAGGGGTTAACACGTTGATCAACGATGGCCGGAGCTTCTAAATTCTTTAAAAGTACAAGAAGAAAATCGATGTCAAATCGAAATATTTTATGACAGAAGTAATGAAATAACAGTGTAGCTTAAGAACTATGATAATTACTAACTTATTATTAATTTTAATTTTCTAATTCAGAGTCTCGCCATGTCAAATGAAACGGTGACTGTAAATCGCCCCTCGATCGCAAGGAATTAATAAACAAGATTAGTATAACACATCCGCGCAAACTAGATAAAAACAAAGTTCTTGAATTAGAATTCACTTGCTGCAATTATTGTCAATAATATTTTATTGCGCCTTTAGGCGTCAGCAGTAGCCAAGTGATTAACGTGTTCACCCTTTGCACTCGAAAGTTCCTCGCTCGAAATATTCAACCCTTTCTAGTTAGATGTAGACAAGATCCTTAAAATAAATTTCTCAAAAAATCGCACATAAATCAGGGAACAGCCATTTCCTTTCAATATTTCACGTATCGATGCAGTATACAAAGGTTAATCGTAAACATAAAAATGTATAATGTTCCTGTAAACATTTTTCCTATAGCAAAGGGTTAACGTAAGTGGTCGAATAATTCTGGACGGGATCATTGACGGCGTTGCGGGCGGAAATCGATACGGTATCGCGGCCGTTGGCTCGCGTCCGTCCCGGACACGGATCCGCCGCGGAATTTTGCATCCGTAAACATTCGTAATAACCGGGCCGGATGAATCGACTCAATTAGCAAGCATTTTTGCGGAATTCACCGCGTTGATTCCCTGGATTCACCCGATCACGTGTTTCCCGGCTGGTTCCGTTCTCGATTACATTGCTCACTCGTTCCCTCCCTAATTTCTGCGAATATCCACGCTGCAGCTTAATAAGCCGTATTCATCCGTCGAAAAGAGCAAGATGAAGTAGTTTCCTGGCGCAGGAAATTTTCAATCCACATTGAAGCGCTTCTTACTCGAAGTGACTCGCTTAACACTAGAACTATCAAGTAAAATGGTCCTGATTGAATTTCTCGATAAAAACTATGACAACTATTAACGCAGTTATATTCAGCTAGATGAACGTGTAATAAGAATGTAATTTAATCAGATGATTAAATATACTTTTTCCATTTCGCGTATGTTGCTCTATGAAACCGAGCGGCATTCGTGTTAAGCTTTCAATTGACTCGTTTGCGTATTAGCTGATGGATTGCTTCAATAACTCGAATGACCATTCACGTCCTTTCGATAATTGCTAGAAAAGAAACCGGTAATAGATCGTTTCGATCCGTTTGGTAGTTCTAGTGTTAACCTTAACGGTCGAGAGCTTTTTTCTAATACTCGCCTGTAAGACATTATGTTACAGTAAATATTTGTCAGTGTATAATCAACAAACCAATGATATAAAGTTGCGATATTCGATACAGAAAACTACAGCGATGATAAACAAATGAAATGGAAGCTTCCTTTTCATATCTCCGTATTGGGGCCTTTCTGTGGCGTAAATGGTTTCCCCATAGTGGAGCCTTTCGATCATTAACCAGTTAACTGTGGAATTTAGTTGGAAAAACCTCTGGTTCTGCGCGGAGTAAAATAAAAAAATGGAGCGTGTACTCGTCGAACGCAGGACGAATGCACGTAGAGTATATTTTAACCCTTTGCGAACGAAGATTGTTGAAAGTATACAAAACCTTTTGCAAATTCTGCTAAATTAAACACTGAATGCTTAAATCATAGAGAATAAGGAAACTGTGTACTGATTTCTTGCTGTTCGAATAGTTAAATCATTTTTTCACAACTGAGTATTCCAAACATGGAAGTTTGATCTCAGCAAAATGCCGACATTCGTCCGCAAAGGGTTAATGAAAGATCAAAGCGAAACAAAGAAGAATTACATGTTTGTGTGAAAAAATAAAGAATTCATCGCTGAAGAATTAGTATCGTGTCAAGCTTTACGATGACGTGTATGCCCTGTGACTTGCTTCTCGGTTAGAGACACAACTACTCTGTGAGAAATTTCTTGAGAAAAGAGAAGATTCTAAGTATAATTATTGTAGAAGAGTAATGGTTCATTTGAATTCGGAAGAGTCGTGTAATGTTTGTGATTGTGAAATTTTGTGTCGAATTTTCAAGAGTTCGGCATGTTACAAGGCAAGGGGTTAAGTGTTGTAACGTGTTCTATATTATTGGAACTTCATGGATTGAGATGTTTGAATTGTTATATTGTTACTTCGATATTGTTAGTAGACTGTCGATCTTGATATGTCTAATGAAATTAGAAATATAGAGTTGTATTGTAACGTGTTCTATATTATTGGATCTTCATGGATTGAGATTTTCGAATTGTTACATTGTTACACAGTTAACTGGTTAAGGATTAAAGCTTTCGAGAAACTTCTTAGTTAATGAGCGAAAGAAGAAGTTTCTTGTGTATACTGTTCCACTGAGAATTGATTAGTAAGAAAGTCCACTGATTGATCGCGCAGTCAAGTCTCCGGAGTCTCTGGGCAGCCACCTGGCCTCGTTGCTGTCGGAAGCGGAGCACAGGGTCCAAGAACTCGGCGGGAGCACTTCCGGTAGCGGCGGGACCACTCTCTTAGAGCCGCCAAGCAGCTATAGATCAAGTTTTTCATCCCAGCACAACAATCTGACGGGATGCGCCGGTAGCAACGAGGACAAACAGCTCGCGCTATGGGAGAGGAGAGCTAAGGCGCTCAGGAAGATGTTGCAGGGTTTCGATCAAGCAAGTAAGTTGCTTTCGGGTTGCATGGAACCAGCTGTGTACGCAAGAATGTTCATTAACGTTTGAAAACGTTTGTTTCAGGACCACCAGATATGCCTTTCCTGGTCGCCGTGGACGTGACAGGAACCAATTCCGTGACGGTCAGGTTCCAGGAGCCGGACTCCCACGATTCCCCGATCTGCACGAAGTTCAAGGTCCAGTGGAGCGTTAAGGATGATTTCTCCGTGATCTGCGGGGAGAGAGAAGTGCTGGACATGAAGCAGAGGGAGTGCAGAATCGATGATCTGACCCAGGGACAGAAGTACCATTTTCGAGCCGCCGCTGGGAACCTGAAGGGCTACAGCAGGTTCAGGAACTCGACGCCTGCCCATGTCACCCCTAGCAGTACGGTCGATTTTAGTTTTTTCAAGCTGAAGCTGTCTGTTGGCTTTAGATTAAGTTGATGGTAAGAGGAAGCTGTTGCAAGCAGTCTCATGGGAATATTGTTTTAGGTTGGAGAGACATCGATGGCAGAGTGCCAAGGTTTGCCGGTCGGCTGGAGCAACTGAATACTTTGTTCACGGACATTAGGCGGCCCGAGTACACGCAGGAAACGCCTGCGGTGCAAAGGCGAAACCACAAGAAGAAGACGACCACGATCAAGCAATTGTTCACGGCGACGAGTAAGTTCCAGAAGAACTTGAGACGCGGCGTGTTTCTCGCTTGTTTGCTCTACCACGAAGACAAAGTGCTTGTGACCAACGAGGATTTCCTGCCTGTGATCGAAGTCGACGAGACGTATCCCAGTTGTATTTACAATGACTTTCACTGGCTGATGAAGGTGGCCTGCACCTGGGAGGACGTGAAGACGCTTCGCCAGGACATGGAGAAGAGTCACAACAGCTCGACGAACTACTTTAGGATAAAACTGCTGCAAGCCGCTGCTCAGATGCAGGTTCGTTTCTGTGGGAAACGCATTTCTGTTTGACACTAGAACTACCGAACAGTCGGATTGAGTTTTCGAAATTTTTCTGTAGAAACTCCGTCAGTACTATTGAAAGTTTTATTGATTTACAATTCAGTTTGGCTATCGCTGAATCAGTTTCTACAGTAATTTCTCCGAGAATTATGTTATCTTTGTAATAATTGTAAAACGAAGGAATCAGGAATGGGTGATTTTGATCTCTCTGGTAGTTCTAGTATTAAGTCACTTTTGAGCTAGAAGTTTGAATACTACAGTAACGTTGGTTTTTTAGGCGGTACTTTGCATACAGGACCTGGGGCAATTGTATCATAAACCCATCAGGGATATGCAAGGCACCCTAGTTTTCTCAACGGTGAATTACATCAAATCCCCAAAGCTTATCTCAGTATTAAACAGTAGGTGGTTGCCACTGAGTAAGGTGACGAAAAAGGTGATAACTCACGAGGACAGCAACGTGGCGGATATCCTGATAGCCAGCATTCAGGAACAGATGACGTACCACCAAGTCAGTAGTATTAAACTGTCGAAAGGATTGTACCTAGGTTACCTGAAGATGCAGAGCAGCGTGGACCTCATTCAGGTCGTGGTACCCGCGAAATCGCCGAACGTGTTGCCTCATTGTAAGGTCCGCGACAATCCTCATGTGACTGCGTACGTATCATATGGTGTGAACCGCAGTTCTGCGTGCAAGCTCGGTGAATCATTAACCTTTCTTCTATTCCAGGGAAGAATGGGATTATCTGAAGAGGATAACCCGACTACAAGTTTCAGATACCTCGGTGACAGACGCCGAGGAGAAGGAGAACGTAACTAACGAATGTCAAGGAACCGAACAGCAAAAGTTATTCGTTGACCTGGTAGCAGCAACCGCGAGGCGATTGTTCAATTACATGGAGATCAGTCCTGAAGATACGCTGATCCATCGATTGTACGATGCCGAGGTGATCGATCTGACTCACGACGTGTCTTTCCTGATTGCTGTACCTCCAGCAGAGACCGCCTGTTCCGTACCTGGGACTAGGGAGATTCTTATGCAAAGAGGAGACTTGTTGTCCTTGCCCATTCAAGTGTTCGAGATGGTCCACTTAAATACGTATCAGAAGGATGTAATTAACAGATACTCCAGATTAAGCTGTATCCTGGAATTGGACACAGCACAAGCTCAATATAACCATAGAGAAGCATTCAGTTCCCTAGAATTGAGCGTGGCGAAGGATAAGTTGACCAGGCTTCAGGATCTCCAGTCACAAGTGAACACCGTGTGGAAGGGAGCTAGGTGGTTGATAGATGCGATCACGTTTGCGAGGGATCGTGGGTCCTCTCAGCAAGGCGTAAGTAGATATCAGTCTTTCATTTCGAAAATTCTTTTGCTCCGTTAGATTGAACACTGCGTTTCATTGTAGATAACGGGGATCTCGATGAAGCACTTGCTCAGTCTAGATAGGAATAAAAGCAACAGTAATAGCAACAGCCTGAAGAGAAGTTTACTGCAGTTACCGCCTCGAGATCCAAAACTAGTCAAGTCCAGTCCCGGTCGAGGCAGCTGGCCAGGACCAAACGTAACCAACTCTTCCTCGAACCTCCTGACGACAGAGTTCAGCAAAAGCGAGCAACAGCTGCCCAGTAGTCAATACATTCGAAAGGGCAGCAACACATCTAACATGTCGACCGGCTCGGAGCCTCCGAAGTCCTCGGTGCCGTTAAGCAGTACAAGTAATCTCAGCAACGCGACCAGCGGTGGCAGCAACAACCATTTGGTACCGTTGCAAAACGCGAGGCTACCGCCGTCCAAATCCGAGGACACTCTAATCCTGACGAAATATAAACACAGCCCCAGGAATAGGTCAGCGACGATCACTTCAGCGTCAGCCAGCACCAGCCCCCTGCTCAGCATCAAGCCCATCATCTACGGCGGTTCACTTCTGAGCGTTTCAACGGCTATGACGAACACGACCAGCTTACTCAGCGTCAGTAACACCAATTCAGACAGTTTGCACTCGTTAAGCAGCGACGAGTACTCGACACCTAACTCGAGCGTCTGTATAAAGGCACACGGGAAAGGGAAACCGGCGAAACCTACCGCTAGCGTTGCTGCCATGGCGACTGGCGCGCTGGAAAGCCAGTTGGAAGAGGAGAAAGACGAAGCGACCATGATGCCGGCGCCTCTGCCTGGCATTCTTCAGGTATGTGAAACTATCCTTTCGTGTGGAATTAGTTGGGTAGCAACACGGTTGAAAGGAACGTAGCTCTAGTATCTTTCATCAAGGCGAGGTGTATGAAAGTATAATCTATCATGTCACTCTGTCACTGTTCAAGGGAACCCCTGAACAATCTTCCATAACTTGAGTTATCGAAACGTGAGTGGATCTTAAAATTAAGATAACCAATGCAATTTTTGATATCATAGTATAAAGAATGATTATAAATTACAGTGAAATTAATTTTGAGATTCACCAGCCCAAGTCGCCTCGGCCTTTGTTCGTACTAGATGAAAAACTGTCCTATCTCGGGCAAGCTTTCTTAGGACACTCGTTTCAATTCTGACTGCTTAATCTCTTCCAGAACCACCCGTCGAGTATAAATAATGTTTTTCCTTGTAGGGTACACAAGTCTAACCCGATTGTAGTTAAACACAGCTCACTTGGTCTTCTAGTGCAGACCGATGTAGCAGACATATGAGTAAGCCGCTACACCGCCTAGCGTTTTAGCGCTTGTTTCGCTCGGATATGCTTTCCAATTTTCGCTTTTCGTGTTTCAACATAGTGAAGCATGCCGTCTCTCGTATCAGCTTAACAGCTATGCGCACTGTCTCTCGACCAATTGGGATCATCCGTGACCCAACTGCATTTCTAACAAAGACAACGTCTCCCACGAATGATCCCAAGCCTCATAGCGGGAACGTAAACACAGCCTTTCGTTAAATGAAAGAACCTGTAACATCTAATCTATCTGGCCACATTCGAACAGTCTCTTTGCTCACCACTAACAGCCGTTTCACTCACTGTATCCGCGAATTACTGGTCAGATGTATCGAGTGCTGCCAGCTGATTGTCACTGCAAACGCTGATACTTCACAGCAGAAAATTTCTTATCTGTCTGATCATTAAAATTGTCCACCAACGTCAGGGCATCTTTGATGATGTCTTTTCAGGTTTACGCCGCCTATGAAACCGGCCTGGCATCCGGTACCAGCCTGAAGCTGCACGTGACACCGAGAACAACGGCTAGAGAGGTGGTCAATCTGGTCGTGAAACAGCTGAACATGGCGGTGGTGCTGAAGGGACAGGAGGGCCCCATTTACACGTCCGACGAGCTGCCGAACTTCTGCTTGGTGGCTGTCATCGGTGCGCGGGAACGTTGTCTCAGGGACGATTTTCGACTCCTCCAGCTTCAGAACCCCTGGAAAAAGGGCAGACTGTACGTGAGACAGAAGCAGGACGTGCTTGCAGCCCTCGAGCACAGCAGCAAGCATACCGCATATTTATAGCATAAGTAGAAAACCAACGGGAGAAGATTATTTCATAGAAAGGATCTCGAAGAAGAGACGAGAGAACCCCGCGTCTCGTGACGGTACTACGTAAGAAGCTTTCCATCTCGTTAACAGTTGGCGACAGAAGCCAAAGATCATTTAACTTAACGCGTTCTGTGAGCTTCCAGATGATCCAGTCAGTCCAGTGTCCTTTCATTTTCTTCCCCAGACCTTTACTTTCACAACAGACGCAATAGATCATTCGTTGCTCCATCCAGTGTCCCAGTGGCAGGACCTTGTGAAAGGATAGATTGTCCCACAGAATCTCAGGCGGGTATCCTTTAATCTCAATATTTTTCACGTCAGAGGATAACATAGAACGCATCGTCCATAGCTCCGTCTCGCATCATCGACACAGCACTTTGCGAATGGACAGCTTTGCATCGGCAAAACCGTGTTAACGTGTTGTACATAAAGGAAACGCTTGACGAGATATTTCCAGTTGTATCCCGAGGCTCTAAGCTGCACGTAACATTAGGTAGAGTTCTGTGCGAGCGGCGGCGAGCGTGTTCTTCTTCGAGGATGCTGTATTTAGGCGAAGCCGTACATTCCAACCGAGTTATCGAGCAGCCCTGCTAACGCTCACCGAGTCTAGATAGTCCGTATCAAGAGTGGATAATACTCAATCGTACTGCTGTATTTTAGGTACCGATCTCAATGTTTAACTCGAGCGTAAATAAGGCGACAGATGCTTCGGAGATGATCTCAACGGCCCCGATCGCGTGCCCAAGCGGATCTGTAAATTGGTAAACAACCCTTCCACTTGGACGATCAGCCAACGATCGAACGGGACACCGGCTTGGACACCTCGATCGCAGAGAAGAATTTTATATTTATATCTTCCGGATTCGCTTCTGGCGGTTCACCACCAACGAATCGTCTGTTCCGGCTCGACCGAGCCCGATCACCGGAAACCGGAGTACCATCCTCGAGGACGGATTATTCTTGCGGCTAGAAGAATCTCCATCGCGCCGCGTTCGCGACGAATCCGCCGACAGATCTCTTGTATCCCATCGGGAACACAATGGACAAACGTCCCGGTCATTAACGAGAGTCACTCGAGGTGCTTACTTAGGGGATACGAGGTTGCGATTAGAGCAGTTTGCGAGCGAGAAGCGTAGACAGTGTCGACGAAAGAGGCTTTATAGATTGTTGCGTAGAATTAAACGATGAATATTAGCGCGATTATTTTTAATCCTGCAGTGGCAAGCGTGCGTCCGGCGCCGACAAATGGTACATATGAATCGTTTCGACCCGATCCGACTCCGACGCGTTCCGCGTGCTTGAAAAGCACCGCAGGAACGCGCCACGTATACACTTTACGTTCCGTTTAAATAGATACCGGTCGGTGGTACTCGTTGATTTTGTCTGAAAGGCGGATGTATGATCGTTTAGCGTTATTTCCCGTGGAAAATGGTAGAACGTAGACGCGAATGACTCGTATGTGCCATTCTAGGGTTAATTCGGAGCGGTTCGCTCTATAGTGTGTTTTCCTTGCGTCCATTCACTGACGCGTCGCGGGTCGGTGTACTTCTTTGCAGAGATGCGCTCTCTTTCGTGTTCTCCGGGCCTGCTTTCGTTTGGGAACATGAAACGTTCTCGGTGTTGAAAAGCATCTGCATTTGTATATTTGTATTCTACCGCGTACGTTTATTCTCCGTTGAGGAAGAAGGAGTCGAAGACGGCCCCGTTGGGAGTCGGTGTTCTCGTTCGAGTTCCAACCTGTCGAGGACTGCAACCGCGACTTAGACGCATTCGCGATAAATACGATGCGAGGAGTGGATTGTATAATGAACGCACCCGGAGCGCACGGTACCGCTGTACAGTGTTCTCCACGTAATAATTAATAACAATTAGTGTCTAACGTAGAAAAGAATGTTACCGGATTCAACGGGAACCTGCGGTCTGCCGTTCCGAGGTTCCGCGTTGAGAAATATAGAGAAACACTTGACGAGTTAATTATTCGACGATGTAACTTGTAGTCTGGCTGCGGATCTTTGTATTATATCATGCGATGATTTAAAGCGAACGAATTGGACACTTCGATTTTTAGAAGATTGACCTGTTGACATTATTAACCGTTTGCGCTTGAAAGGTGTTCACGTTAAGTTCTAACGAGGTATTGATTCGATCATTGATCCTGTCAAATAGAGATAATCCACGGATCAATGGATAGAATTATTTTCTTTCAATATTCCATGTGTAATCTGTAGAATATTCATTTTTATAGTCTCGCTGTATGAAGGCGGTGATTTTGGTCAGCTCTCGAGTGCAAAGGGTTAAGTCGAGACGTAAACTAACAGTACCACCATAGAAATGTAAATTCGCACGATATTCCGTAGCCCGCTCGCCGTTCCAACGGCGGGAATAGCAATTTAACGAATGTGGATTGATCTCCGATGAAAATTGAATGATTCTAATGTCTGTAAATTAGCGTTAACGTTGATGATCCGTCCTTCGGCGAGGGAAACTACAGAGATCAATCGACTGGACAGTGGTACCGAGCAACGAGGGGGCCACCTAAGTTTAAACGAAGATATACGATGCACATATTTTTTTATCGAGAAAATACAAGCGAGAGGAGAGCGAACGAGAGAGAAAGAGTGTGGGTGGATTTTTACTGTATCTTGCCGGAGTGCGTACTTGTCATCGAACGCGAATTGATCAGTACGCACTCGCATGTTTCACGGGGAGACGATGAAGAAGGAGGTCTGCGTGTGTCCAGCAAGAACGGGAGAGAGTGTGTGAGAGAGAACGAGATGCAAGAAGAAAATTTCATGAAGAAACGGAAGTTAGTAAAATTTTATTAGCTCTACTTGAGTGTTTATCGATGTTGAGTGTAAAATAATCACCTAGAAATTAAGTGTTAACGAAGGACGACGAGGAGGAGGAGGAGGAGGAGACGAAAATTAAAAGACGCCTAGATTTTCCTTGTGGATTAATGAAAGAGAGAAAGAGAGAGAGAGAGAGCGAGAGAGAGAAAGAAAGAGAAATAACACGCATTGAAAAAAAGAGAAAAAACTACAAAAGGACGAAGAAACGAACTACTTGTAAATATTCAAAGAAATCTATGTATGTATAAAATATAAAATTCAGAATGACCGAAGAGAGAGAGGGGAGTACGATTATTTCGATACTTCGATTCATTCTTTCTTTCGTGCTGTACATTTTTTTTAACGCTTGGTCCACGGAACGTCTATTCGACGCAGATTGAATATTATAAATTATTATTTGCTAAACGTTAGACTTTGATCGGTTACACCAAACGTACATCTCAATTGTCTGTTCTTAATTATCTCCAATGTCCAAAACTCAAAGAACATCGATTTCTCTAGCATTAGTAAATAGAATCAACGACAAAATGAATTGTTCGGTAAACGTCCGTGAACCTGGCGTCCATCCAGTTCTGTCTCTATCATATGCAACGCATTCATTGGTTTTATTTTGTTCAGCCGGACCAAGCGAGACAGTAACTCTCGGGGAGCAGAAAAATGAACCCGGACCCTGACGACCGAGAGTCCCGCTGACCCACTTCCGCCTTGTTTCTCGTCTCATCTCGCCGTGCCACCTACTCCTTATTTATCCCCCACCTGGCGTAATCGTGCGGCTCTCCGCTCTTCCGGCTAGTTCCCAAGCGGCGAGCAGATATCCCGTGGTAATGAAAAACTCCGAGGGCATCCCCTCTGAGAAGAGCTAACCCAGACCTGGCCCTCGTGGGTCATCCAACTTCCTACTTTCAGGCCGGGAACGATGCGCCTGCACTTTCTGGTGCACACACTTTGCTTCGCCTATTATTCATCGTTACCGGAAAATCTTTTCATAGTCGGGACCTTTTGGTTTCCTTGATTATACTACTGGCTGTTAATTTCAACCCTTTGCACTGGGAAGTGATAGAAATATTCAGCACTTTCTGATCAGATGTTTTATAGATAGTTCGAACGTGAATGAAGGGTTACAACTGTTTCATTATTCTTATTTTATATTACTTTATTTTTATTTAATTTTGAATGGCGACTGAGTTTAGAAGTGCTAGAAATATTCAGCATTTTCTGACCGGACATAGATGTTTTATAAACAATAGTTCGAATGTAAATAGAGGAATACAACTGTTTTATTATTATTTTATATTACTTTATTTTTATTCTGTAATTTCGAGTGGCGACTGAGTCTAGAAGTGTTAGAAATATTCAACATTTTCTATAAACGATGGTTCAAATGTAAATGAAGGAATACAACTGTTTTATTATTCTTATTTTATATTACTTTATTTTTATTTAATTTTGAATGGCGACTGAGTCACCTCTCTAGGGTTAACCTTTTGAATAATTCTTTTCCTGATTTTCGTATGAATAAATTAAGTTATTAATAGGAGATTCACTAAGTATTTCATTTGAAAATAATGTTACTAATTTTATCAGTGATGATCCCACGGTGTAAAGGGTTAATGTTAAGAAGCCAGTTGAAAGGTGAGAGTGTCTTATTATTTCCCTGTGAAATTACTAAATAAAACCGAGAAGACTCTCCGCGACGTTACTTTTATCCTTCTTGTTACTCGATTCCGTGGAATATCTTATTAACATCCATTACTTCCGTCCCGCAGGGTATAAAGGGCATTTCCTACAACATAATCCGTTCGATGAGATAGAATCAGGGGTGAACAAAAGGCAGCCGAGATCTATCTATGAATCATTAATCACGATCGCCATCGTTTCGCGATAAACTGTGACCGCTAGGAGGCCCGAGCCGGAAGTTCAGTACCGTACACAACGCTGGTGTCGAGTTCATTGTTCAATCGAGTCACGTTTACAATTACGATAATGAAACTCGGGTTCATTCGATTCCGCCGGCGTTATTGATCGTCGCGTTTTATCGGCGTCCCGTTGGACACGATAACTTCTCCAAGTACTGTACGTTTATTACCGAACATCGTGTTCCTTTGTCACGTTCATTTTGACATTCAGCTCACTGCGAACAATTTTTATTCGTATTTCACTCATTTGCATAAGACATTGGAGGAGTCAACGAGTTAACACTAGGTTCACGCTTCCAAATTTGAAGCATATAATATAATTTATGTATCATTCATATATAATATATATTAATATTAATATTATATATATATTAAAACCCTTTGCACTCGAGGGGCGCCTTACAGTCGCCTGATTCGACGCAGCAAACATAAAATTTTCAATTCAATATTAAACCTTGTGTAATGTATCAACACATAAAACGAAGTAAAATAGTTGTCTCTTAATTTATAGAAGATAGTCAATTGTGTTAGTTACGAAAAATATCGTTAATATTTAGTCAGAATGAATATTTTTAATGAAAAATATTGTCGACTGCAAAGGGTTAATATATACATATAATTTCACAAGCATCATTTAGTAAATTCCATTAATCATAATCTCAACAATCTAAGTGAACACCGATTTCACTAAGAATAGAACGAACTATGCAATAAACATCCATAAACCATAGTGTCAACATCGTCGCATCTGAAAATGATCTTCCAAATTTCTTCCATGATTTCTCGACGATTTCCAAAATTTCCGCGTAGTTCGAGAAACTTCCAGCGCCGCTGTGTGCATATCACGCACGTAGGATCCGCGACGTTCGCGTCGGATCGTTAAGATTCCAGCCGCCGCTTCGCCGAGGGTGTAAAACCGGTGATTACGCGGCCGCCTCCGGTTTTGTGGGTGCATATACAGTTAATAGTCATTGTCAAGAGGACGGAGGCTCGCGTGACGATTGGTTAACCCGCAGAGTCCGGATTCGCCCTCGGCTGACCCCGTTGTTAACTGACCCACTGACGATACTGATAGCGGGACACCGTGGAGCTCTCGGTTCACCTCGGTCTCTCGTTCGCTCGGCTGCCTCGGTCTCCTGCGGGAATTTCGGTGATCGCGCACGGTACAGTCTAAAACGAATACCAAACAACGAATCCCATTGAAAGATTAACCCTTTGCACTCGAGCGGTGACCCTCGGTCATCATTTGATTTAATATAACAAAATTACAAACTGCTGAATATAATATTAAGTTTTTTATAATGCATCAATATGTGAAATATTTATATGAAATAGCTTTATTCCTTAATTTACGTGTTTTCTCATTAGTACGTTTCAAACAGTGTCGTCTATGTCTCATCGCAAAATGTCGAATGTTTCTAGTGAAAAGCTTCCGAGTGCAAAGGGTTAACCCTTAGCGGACGCGGATTCTTCAGAACCTTCAGCAGATGAAGCTGAATTACATATACTTGAACAATGAGAAAAAGGAAACTATGTACTAATCTGTTGCTATTTCAATAACTAAATCATTTGTTACTGCTCCAACCGACATCCGTCCGCAAAGGGTTAAAAAATTGTCGAACTCCAAGGCAACCTTAACGAAGTAAATTCATTGATCTTATTTTCAGCGTATACACGATGCACATCGAGAAAGAGGAAGCTCCACGGAGAGAGAATCGTCCAGAGGAATTCCGGGTGCTTGAGGAATAAATTCGCCAGCCGATAAACCCAGTTGAAATCGGAACTTTCCTCAACTAGTTCAGAACAATTACCCCCACCGAAAAATCCGTTTTCAATAATAACCCAGCCGGATGCGTTCGAAGTTTTGCGGGACCGCGAGCCGCCTAGTTTCCCAACAGCTCGGCCGGGCTCGCTAATAACCGGCGGGTACCGGCGGGCGCCCGTAAACGCGGCCGCGATCCGGCTGCCCGACGAAAATCCATCTCCGGACGCATCTAGGATCCGTGTTCACGCGTCCCTCGATCCGACGCGGACGCCGGATTGCGACACGCGGCGCATTGTGCTTGGGAACTGCTCCCGGGGCTGTCACGAGAGCCAGATTGCGGTAATAATTTGATTGATACTCGCTCTCTTTCTCTCTGAAAACGCTCCGAGGATCGAGACCGAGGAGCCGGTCACGCGTGCCGATCCTGAAGCAATTGGGAGATCGAAGTCGAAGCGGCGACCGGGAATTCGCTGGCGAGCCATTGGTTAGCGGAATCCGAATTTTCGCGCGTTCACGTAAATCTGTGTAAATCGTAGCTGTTGATCTAGTGGATCTAGCTGTAAATGACACTGGCCGTGTATTAATATTTTAGATAAAAATAATGATTGTATTCTGAAAATATTAGATCTCGACCGGAGTCGCCGAGAATCAAGTAAATAAGGAAGACAATTGCTTTTGTTCATCGCCGATTTCAAAGTGAGCATCGACCTATTAACCCTTTGCACTAGAGGTGACTCTGTCATTTCATTGAACGCAGCAAAATTATAAAATGGAAGATTGAATATAAACAAGATAACACATGACACAAATAAAACAATTCTGCCTCATAATTTATGCGCGATGTTTCTCTATGAAACTGCAAATAATATTGTTAATATTTCATCAGAAAATAATGAATGCAATGAAAAATATTGACTAGTGCAAAGGGTTTAATTTACCGGCTTACCGGAGTGACGCGGCGCTGATACCGGTAACCTACAGCTCCGATTCGTCATGGAGGGAGTAGTTTCAAGATACTTGATTTGTATGTGTAACACTTGAACCATAACGCAATTGATAGTACGCTGATTCACTCTGAGCACCAATTTCGAAAAATTTAGGCTGATAAGCGTTGGCATTGAAAATGACTTGAATCTTGGTAGGTAAGGGTAACAGCAAAAGTTTTATCCTGGATGTAGAAATATAGTTTGAGGAATGTAGCAAATTAGGGTATAAGGAATTTGGAATTAGGGAATAGAGGATGTTTATCGTCGAAGCAACGACGAAGGCAGAAGACACCAGAAAGACGTCGATGACGATGGAAGCAGCGCGTTGGTACCGTGGACGCACAAAGATGCGAGACGCAGTACCGCGGACGACATTAATGCGAACCAGTAGGTCAACTTCTAGAACGAGGCTAGAGGCTCCTGGCAAATCCGGTGTCAATGAGATCGATTCACCCGACTTTGTCGCTCCAGTTATCGACAGGGAACTGGACCGTCTGGTTCTTTCCCGATGACGGTTTTTGCGTTCGCTGTAACACGAGCGACACGGTATAGACTCAGGGTGAGAGGGGAGTCGGATTATATAAGTGTTTTTCTTGTTGCAGAAACTCCCCCGTAAAACTGTGGGACTCGTTCGACGAATGCTAGAAAAGGGGTTGAGAAGAAAATTTTGGAAGACGCATAGAATCCGATCCGAAGTAATTATCTAATTCTCATCTACCGATCACTAAGCCTAACCCTTTGCCGACAAAGATTGGAAATATACAAAACCTTATCTAAATTGCATATCAATTATAATATAATTGATAGAAGAAAAGGAAACTACGTTCTGATCGACTGTTCGACTAATTAAACCATTTCGCGAGATAGTCAGACACGAACGTTCCGTCTTACCGAAATGCCGACACCCGTCCGCAAAGGGTTAATTAGTAATAAACAGTAAACGATAAATCGACTACTATATAGAACGCCTTTGAATCTTGCTCGATTACACGCTTACTAATTCACCAATTCTTCAGGCAATCCGCAACGAAACGCTAGAGCAAGCACCGCTCAGTTTTTCAAGAAAGAGGATCAAGCGGATACGGTACCGCGAACCCCGCAATCGGCAGGGGGCTCGATTTTATACGGATCTCTGGCGCGCGCGCGCGCTCGCGCGCACGTGTACAGCCGTGTTGCGAAAGAATTATACGGGGCACAAGGTCCGGCCATTCGCCGGTCGAATTTTTACCGATCGAAGGTTAGGTTTCGCAGTTGGGTCCGCGTACCGATCTGTGGCC